CCCAACCCCCTTCCCTTCCTCTCTTATTCTTAAAATAAGTAAAATGCATCATTGACACATTATGATGTCATGGCAACCCGGATGTAGCAACCACACAGAGAGTGGAGAGCCCAAGTGAGGGGTCTAGGTAAGGAAAGTTTCGATTGAAGGATTCAAGTTTTACTGTTAGCTTTTAGTCTTAGTACGAGTTTTAGTTTTAGTTTCAGTTTTAGACTTTATTTTAGTACTAGTTTTAGTTTTTGTACAAGTTTTACGGCACTTGCAACACTAATAAGTCATATAAGTGCTGAAGATTTGAGGTGTGACTGGAGAGTAGCATACAAAGAAAAGAAGGAGGGGATATAAGGACGATAGAATATTTGCAAGAGAAAGAAGGAGCACACCACACCAGAGCATCCACCAACCACCCACGGATTTAAATTTACTTTGAACCCAAACTCAATGTTTGCAAAAACGCTGTTATGTGTGTGTATTGGAGGATTGTCTTGTTTTGATTTTATCATTTTTCATTCTTTTTTTAAAAGTAGGGGGGGGGGGCCTGATATGGGGAGGTAATGTGAGTTGTATTACTAAAGGCAGGGTGACACACTGTCAGGATTGAGAAAAATGCCTAAAACATTTGACCCTCTGCGGTTGTGAATGCTTAAATTTTAAATGAGGTTGTGCAGAGATATGTTACTCTGCCATCTATCAAGTAATTGAGATCAATACTTACGTAGCTTTACCACTTTGAATAATATGATTTTTAATGCAGATAGATTTTCTATGTTATCCTGCCTTTGAATAAAAGAAAGATGTGGGCAAGACTAGTGTAACAAATTGATTTTTAAAAAAAATTAAAATTCTTTAAAATCAATTTTGTAAGGTAAGTCGCTATGCCTTAGGCCAGCAAAACTGAGTAATGTCTTACCTTACACCCTTCACATGTCATCGCCCTGTAGTGAGTGCCGGTGGACTTGTCAAAACATACCACACATTTCTCCCCGGCCTGGACGTAGCTTGGGATGTAGGCTGTGGAAAATTGGTTTGGTTTTCACGTTAGTTCAGAGCACGGTTTTGTTTTACTTTGTGGGTTGAAGTATCTAAAAATGTATAGGCCTGTTATAAATTTAATTCCTTAAATAACAGTAATTTACATTCCTCAACAACAATTGTTCTCATTTCCCTGTAAAGACCAATGGCCTTATATATATATATATATATA